TTGGTTTCATTGGTTTTGTTTCTGCAAAACCTTTTTAATTTAATATAATCAAAATTATCCATTTTTCATTTCATAATGTTCTCTATACCTTGTTTGGTCATAAATTCTTCTTTTCTCCATAGATCTGAGAGGTAAACTATTCCTTCCTCTCTTAATTTACTTATGGGATCACACTTTATGTCTAAATTATATACCCATTTTGACCTTATCTTGGTACAGGGTATGAGATGTTGGTCTATGCCTAGTTTCTATCATAGTATTTTCCAGTTTTTTTGTCAAATAGTGAGTTCTTATCCCAGAAACTGGAGTCTTTGGGTTTATCAACCAGTAGATTACTATAGTCATTTATTTCTGTATCTGTATTGGGACGCTCTCCCCTTTTACCCACGTGAGACAGACCTTTTTCTGAAGTCCTTCTAAATTATCCTAAGGTGGAAAATGGTTTCACTTCAACTTTTTGTGGGTTCTGTCACTCCAGAATCCATTTAAAGGCTTGATTTATTTTTTTTTCCTGAGGTATTACTCAGGCAACTTCCTGGATTCTCTCTGCCATCTTGGTTCTGCACCCCACTACCCAAGCAACTCTTTGACACTATAAATTGCAGATGATGGTGAGTCTCCATTGGTAAATTATTTTACTGAGATTCCCTATGCCAGAGAAACCACTGGTCTAGATAAAAAACAAATATCAAAACTAACATTGTCAGTGTAAAGACCAAAGATATGAGACTAAGCACTAACCCCGTCTAACTTACTTGTCTTCAATTACCTCTCTGAAATTCAATCTCCTTATCTGTCGAACATGGATCATAATGCCTACCACACATCTTACTTGGATATTATGAGGTTTGGCTGAGATATTATAGGTAATATTGTCCACAAACCATAAAATCCTGTAGATTGACCAGCTATCACTAGTATTACAGTTGCTATTATTGTCACTGTTATGTAATTCTTTAAGATTGTGGAGATTCTTCTTTTTTATTTTATTTATTTTATTCTGAACTTAAGAAAAAAAAGCATTTCCATAACATAGTGGAATGGGGAAAAAAAAGATGATTGCACATGAAATTGTAAATCTATTATGTACAACTTGTTATTCCTTTTAAATATATAATAAAGTTATTATATAACTTTTGTTGCTTTTTCTATTTTTTCCTTCCCTCCCTACCCCACCCTAGAGATGGCTATCATTAGACACAAATATGGAGATATGTATATAAAATACATATAAAATATACTATACATCTATTTATCAGTTCTTTCTCTGGATACAGATAGCAGTAGTTAATTTGGGTATTTATAATAGAACGACATTCACTCAAAGTCATTCTTAAAACAATATTTTTGTCACTGTATGCAAAGTTCTCTTGATTCTGCTTATTTCATTCATCATTATTTTGTGCACGTATATCTATGTTTTTCTAAGATTTTCAAGCTCATCATTTCTTATAACACAGTAGTATTCCATCTCGATCATATATCTCAACTTGTTCAGCCATTCCCCAATCGAAGGGCATTTGACAAGCCTTATAGAATATGATAGAACATTAAAGTTCCAAGGGCCTGGGAGAGTATCTAGTATAATACTCCCATTGTATAGATGAGACAACTGAGGCTTAGAAGGAGAAAAGTACTCACTCATGGACACACAAAAAATTAGTGGCAGAGTCAACATTGGAATCTGTGTCCTAATGTTCATAGAGAGAGATTGCTTCCTGTATGTCATATCCTAAACAGCTAATTTCCTTTAGCAGCCTCTTCGTTCTTTCTTCCTAATAATTCTCAGCAGCTGAAAGAAGTCAAAGTTCAAAATTTGGCTATTCCAGACATATTATTGTGTTAGAACCTGGAAAGCTTCCAAATGACAGGTGAAGCCCAAGAAAATCACTGATAGGCAAGACCACAGATTATGTTACAACATTGATTTGTGCTGAATGCAGTCAAAGCTCTCCTGTAAAAATGCCTTATTTTTTTTTTTCTTTGTCTTCAGTAAATGACCATTCCATTCCTCACAATTAGAATTTATTGATTCAAGGTGATGGTGAACTTTCGAATAAATATCTGAAGTCATTTCCTTTCAGTGTAGAGAGGCTAAATGTATGTCATTGATGTAATACCATTGATAAAGGTCTGAGAAGGGGAATAAATTGAGCAGTGGAACATCCATTTCAAAGGGACAGTGTAATGTAAGGAAGACTGAACTAGAATTCAACACATTTGGGTTCAAGTCTTCTCTTGGTCATTAATTTCCCTGTGGTACCTTAGGCAAATAACCTTGAATTTGTGGGTTTTAGTGTCCTCATCTGGCAAATAGAGCATAATAACATAGAATTGTTAAAAAAAATTAGAGTTCGATGGGGCATCAGAAGGCAGATAACTCAATATCTGATATGATTTCTGATGTCATCTTCTAACCTTTGCTTAAAGCATTGTATTAATGATGAATCACTTACACCTACTGCAACCACCTTTTTGATTGTTCTAATGCTTAGGAATGCTTTCTGATAACAATGTGAAACTTTGTCCTTTGTAATTTCTATCCATTGGATTTTAGTCTTCTTATAAAGCCACCAGGAATTATTCTGTTCTCATATCCACTATTTATATCAGGAATTATTCCACCCCAGTATGTTAAGCCTTCACCTTTTTTTTAAGACAATGATTATTCTTGTTCACACTTTCTTCTGTTTTCCAGGCTAACATCACCATTTCCTTCTGTCATTATTAGAATAGTATGGTTTCCAGTCTAGTCACCATCACAAGTGTAAAGTCTTATACTTGGGTCCAAGACACTGATATCCTAAATACAATAAAGGAGAGGCATATTTAGATAGCATTTTGTATGAGGAAAAAAAAATAACTAAGATTTTTTTAGTGGACTGCTAGCTCAGAGTGAGTCAGCAGTGTGATCTAGCAGATAAGATAGTAAATTTGATCTTGGATTGCATGGGTAAGTATGGCTTCTAGGAAAAAGGAAATATTAGTCCTACTGTACTCTGCCTTGTTCAAACTGCATCTGTATTACTGGGCATCATATTTTAGGTTAATGTATTGGTTGGTCTATATAGTTGCTGAGGTCCCTTCCAACTTTGGAATTCTGTGACTGTCAACAATTTCATGATTTCCCTCTCGAGTCTTGTTGTAAAGGTTAAGTGCCTGGCTCACAGTAAGCCACATTAATACAATAAATGCCACTGATTAACTGATAATATAGATAACATGATTTATAAAACATGATGAACTGTATATATGAGATTGGTCATCATTACTGTTAGCATTTTTTCATTAACACGAAATTTTGTAATGACAAGGAAGCTCTTCCTATAGAAACATATAATAGATGTAACCTCAGGTAGTACTGAACTTGTAGAATATGAGAGAATGTTAAACATGGAAAGGAAATTCTAACTGCCACCCACATCACGTTTAGATGGTGTCATTTGTTAGGATGAACTTCCTCACATTGGACCTAAATCAGATTCCTTTTACTAGAAATAAGGGAAAAGGAACATAGTGAGCTTAGTATAAAAGAACACCTCCCTGCCCCCCTCCACACACACTATTACCAGGTTTCTCTAAAGGTTAACAGCATATAGGCGTCTAGGTGACACAGTTGTTAGAACACTGGACAAGGAGTAAAGAAGACCTGAGCTCAAATCTGACCTCAGACACTTATTAGCTGTGTGACCCTGGGCAAGTCACTTAACCCTGTGTGCCTTAGTTTTCTCATCTGTAAAATGAGCTGGAGAAGGAAATGGCAAAGCACTCCAGTATCTTTGCCATAAAAATCCCAAATGGTGTCACAAAGAGTCAGACATGACTGAAATAACTGAACAATAAGAACAAACAAAGCAGATTATGGTTTAGGATAAAGATAATAGGACTGGAATAGAACAAACAAACAGAGTTTAAGTCCCTGGTCAACATTTCAGAAGGATATCTTTTGCATATGATAAAACGTTTTACTTCTGTTATACAGCCTAAATGACCTCAAAGGATACACAGCAGTAATGCCAGCTTCCATTGTTCTGTACCCATCCTGGCCATCTCAGGAGATAAGTGTATATTACATATTTGGTAACTATTCACAGTCTTCTTGTTACAATTAATGTGTGTGTGTGTGTGTGTATAGTCCACATTTATATAATAATTTAAATTTTGCAGAGCACTTTTGATACATTTTTCTCATTTGAACTTCACAATAAGGTGGGGATGTCCATGCTATTGTCTCCATTCTATAAATGAGTTCTTCAAGTAGGACCTGGACAAACATTTGTCAGAAATGTCATAAAGATTTTGGGGCAAGTAAAACTAGGTGCTCTTCTTAGGTACTTCCAGTGGCAAAATTCTGATATTTAGTATAAGTTTATCTCACTCATTTTCTCTTCAACGATTTCTTCTGCATTTATGACTTGGTTAGACAGCATAGTACATGGACCGCTGGACTTGAAATCAGGAAGACCCGAGTTCATATAATGCCTCAGACGTTCACTGAATGTATGACCTTGGCCAAATCATTCATCTTCTCTCTTCCTCAATTTTTTTTTTAGTTTGTAGAATATCACCTACCTCACAGGGTCATTGTGAAGAATAAATGACATCACGTATAAAGCATTTTGAAAATCTTAAAAACACTATATAAATGGTAGACATGTTGTTATTATTATTATTAGAAACTAGACCAATAATTTCAGTGCTATAGGGAGCTCACTGGGGAGGAAACTCACTCTTCTAGTGTACCTCCTCTGCAAATTGCAGAGTTGATTTCTTATAGCTAGAAGATTAAGTGATTTGTCCAGGGTCACACAGCCAGTTTAAGACAGGTATGAGACATGATTGCAGTTCTTCTCTGGCTCTGAGGCCGGCTGCTCCATTCCCACAATACCACATTGCTTCTCTTTATATGGCAGCCTTCTCCTTGCTTAGATGCAGCTCCACCTCATAGGCCTGAATACACATCATGATTCATATAGCTTATTGTCATTTTTCTTTTACAGAGGTCTCCAACTTGGGTTCCGCAAGTATCCAAGACAACACTGTGAACAGTCGGATATTTCAAATCTTGTACAGGAATGAAGAGATCGTCATTAATGAGCTGATGACTTTTCGAGTGCATTTGCTCTTAGATGGGGAAAGGGTAAGGCATGGGTCCCCAACCTTTGCATAGGGGGAGGCTGATCTTCATTTCTTGAAGACCTGAGACTTGCAGCATTAGGGTTTGTGGGAGGTCACTGAGAGCAAGGTTTTTTAATTGAATAAGAGATTCCACTACATCAATGATCACAAAGCATATGAAGTAATTGTAATCAGTTTGGAGATTGAATCAGTAAACTACTTAGGCACAACTCAGGTGGGTAAGTCTTCCCATTGAAGGCCTGCCTCTTTGATAGAATGGAAAGTTGATACACTCATTTCTCTCCATCCTTACATCCTACCCTGGGTATCTGTGACAGAGCACTTGCTCGCATGTGCGCGTGCGTGCACACACACACACACACACACACACACACACTTCACTGTAGATCTTTCTCCAGGAAAGTCCTCCTGCCCCATCTCAATACATTGTACATCCTTTCATTCAGTTGCTATTACACTTCTGACTTACCTTGAGCCCTGGAATTTTTTTCACTTGAATTGTTGTCCAGTTTCACATGAACTAATCATTGTCTGATCATTGATACTTCATTCTGTATTTACATAGTCCAGTGTCTGAACCCTCATCTATAGGTATTTACATTTATCCCTCTTCAATCTTGTCTTATTAGATTAGGGGCATCACACCAACTTATTGCAATCCTAAATTCCTTCATCAGGACTAGATGAGATCAAAGGCTTCTTCTAGCTGTAACACTTGATGTGTCTGTGAATCTATGAGGTCTTCCCCCCCCCATTCTGTCATTCAATATGTTAACTATCTCAGCCTCCTGCCATCAAATATGTGACAACCTCGCCATCCTACTGCTTTACACAAATAATTGATTAAAATGTTGAACAGAATAAGGGCTGAAGACAATGTCATTTTACTGCCACTAGACACCTGCCTTGGGGTTGACATGGATCTATTAATCCCCAACTTTAAAATGGAGGAGTTGAAGTACATAATCTCCAAGGTCCTTTCTTGTTCTAATATTCTCTTTTCAAATTTAAACCAATTCATTGAAATTGAATAAATATCTATTAAATGTCTTCTGAGTGAGTAGCACTATGGTAGTTATTGGAAAAGATACCAAATTCAGATAAGACGCAATCAATATTCTCATGGAACATGACACAAATGCAATTATACTACATTTTAAGTAAATCAATAGCTAGTATGTATATAGTGCTTTAAGGTTTTGAATATTTTAAGGTTTTAAAGGAATTTTTAAGGTTTTTGAATATTTAGTAAGCTTTGATGTCTCAAAATGCACTAAGACTTTGGGGTTGTATGTTAGCTCATTTGAACCTCTCAACAACCTTGTAAAATAGGTACTATTATTGACCCATTGTACAAATGAGGAAATTGAGGTTAAGGGAAATTAAGTGATTTGCTTGAGGTCATACAACTAGCAATTGTCTGAGACAAGATTCAAAAGGTCTTCCTGACTCCATGTACAGCATTCTGTCCCATGTACCACCAAGGAATAAACAAAATACTATCTGAAGTCAGAAGGGAGAGATAACACATAACTACCAGAGTGAAACAGAAAAGGCTGGAGAAGGTAATATTTAGGAAGTACTTGAGAAAATGGGTAGACATTCAGGAGTAAAGGAAGGGAAATGGAACACATTCAAGGCATAAAAGCACAAAAGAACACAGGATATTCACAGGACTGTGCCCATCTGGCTAACAGTGTAAGGTGAAAGTAGTAGGAAAGCTGGAATAGTAAGAGTATAATTGATTGTGAAGGGCATAGAATGTCAAGTAAAGTGGCAAAGTGAAAAAAACCCAAGACCTGAAGTCAGAAGGATTTGAGCTGAATTCCTGTCTCAGACACTTACTAGCTCTGTGACTCTGGCAAATAATTGTCCTTGTCGATACCTCAGTTTCCTTCTCTGGAAGATGGAGATGATAGCAGTACCTACTTTGTAATGTTGTAAGAATCAAATGGTGTGTGTATATTTATATTTATACATATATATTGCTATTTAAATTATTATTATTATTATTATTATTATTTCCATTTTACTCAATAGGCAGTTGGGAGCCATTGCAATAATCCAGTAAGGAAGCAATGAGGACCTGTGCTATTATAGCGGAAGTTGAAATATAGCAGATGGAGCAGATAAGAGAGAGTTTGGAAAAAATAGTTAAGACATGATAGCTAATGATAATTAGTTAAGACTATTTCTTAGATATGAAGCATGAACAAATCAAAGAACAGGGTATGATTTTGAATCTGGAAGAATGATGATACCAATAACCAAAACATAGAAGTAAAGTAGGGACTTTGTAAGTTTCAAGGGAAGGAACAAAGTTCAATTTTATACATAATCAGTTTGAAATGTTAGTGGGAATCCAGAAGGTTATTGCAGACTCTTCTTTTGCTTTTCTTTGTATCCTAACACAAGTACACTGCCTTGCACATAGTAGGTGCTTAATAAATGCTTATTGACTCACTGAGGAGAGCAGGTGAGCATATTTGTCTAGAATTTCTGAGAGGGAACAGGGATGGAAATAGACATTTGTCAGTCATTGATTTAGAGATATTTGAATATGGGAGGGAATGCGGTTGTCAAGGGGCAGAAGAGGGGCATAAATAGAAAGATGAAGAGAAAAGCAGTGAAAGAACACTGAGAAATACTCTCATTAAGTAACTGAGAAAAGGAGAAGCCAGTAAGAGAGGTGCAATGAGTTCACAATGAGAGACATAGGAAAGAAGATAGGCACAATAAGGGAAAACATAATGAAGGACATGAGAAGGAAAAGAATGTCAAGCCATTGGAGAGGGAGTAGTCAGTATCACTGGTTACAGAGAGATCAAGGATGGGGACTGAAAAAAAAGGCCATTAGATTTCTCAATAAAGAGGACATTGACGAAATCAGTTTCAGCAGCATGGTGGGGGAGAACTCTCTTTGACTTCAACCAGTTGAGGTGAGGGCAGGAGCTGTCCATGTCTAACATTCTTTTTTATTTGTTATTATAAGGTTCATGTTATAATACCCTGTGTTATGATACTACTATTATTAATAATAAAAAATAATCTTAATAACAATAACTAACAGTTATATCGTGCTTATTATGTGGCAAGGACTGTGTCGAGCATTTTACATTATTATTATTTCATTTGGTCTTCACAGCAATCCTATGAGTTAGGTTCTGTTATTATACTTATTTTACATGTGAGGAAACTGAGGCAGACAGGGGTTAAGTGACTTGCCCAAGGCCACAGAGCTGGTAAGTGTATGAGGCCTAATTTGAATGCAGGTCTTTTTTACTCCAGGGCCAACACTTTATTCACTGTGCCACCTAAATGCTCTGGCTGTTTTAAGGACCCTTCCAATTCAAATGTTATATATCTTAAGGGTGTATCAGTACTCTTCTAGTCTGGTTGTTCATACAGCTTTTTAGCACTCTTGCTCTCATCCAACCTGTACTATCTATCTTGTCTACGAGGAATGTCACAGCCAATTGAAATCTGGAACCAGTGAAGGATCTAAAATCACCAGGGAAAAAGCATACATGGTGTTTGTTTGGATCTTAGGTTCCAAATAATTGGTGGTAAGAGATGATATTTTGAGTACTGTGTGTGCTGCATTACATACCTTATAATGCACAACAAGGCAAAGAGACATGATCATTTATGTCATTTGTATTCGGCAAAATGTGGCATCCCCAATGCTTTTGAACAGACATTTTTAAACTCTGAGAATCTAAATATAAATTCTAGGCATATGTGTCTCACTAGATTATGTTTATCCAGGAATGTGTTTTCAGAGAAGCCTTTCAATAAGAGTTCTTCCAATTTTACTTGATCAAAATATTCTCATGAAGAAAAATCTGATATGCCTTCTAGTCATTACTCAGTCTCAGAGAAGTTGGATTGCCATTTGTGTGTGGTGTCATGGCACCATGGAAAGCACACTTAGATTTGGAATCAGAGTCTTTCAGCTCAAGGAGTCCTGGTTAGGTTAGATATTAGCTCTTTGATGCTGGGCAAGCTACATCACCACTCTGAAACTCGTTTTCTCCATCTATAAAATACAGATAATATTTACTTACATCACCCTTCCACTCACCATGTAAGTTTGTTATGAGAAAAATGATTTATGAATCCTAACTTGTAGAAATGTGAGATGATTATGAGGGACATGAAGAGGAGGAGAATGATGATTATGATGGTGACAGAGTATGATGTAGGAGGTCTGGCATTAGACTTGGAGTCAAGAAGGTCTGGATTCAAATCCTGCCTCAGAAATTTACTATGTTACCCTGGGTAAGTCACTTAATCTTTCTCCTCTTAGTTTTAACTTATCTGCAAAATGAGGGAGTTAGACTTGATAGACTCTAAATCTCTTCTATTTTTATATCTAATAATAATAATAATAGCAACAAAAACAATAATAATAGCTAGCATTTGTAGGAAGCAGCTAATTGGAGTAGTGAATAGAATGCTGGCCCTGGAGTCAGAAACACATGAGTTCAAATCTAACCACAGACATTTACTACCTGTGTGACCCTGGGTAAATCATTTAACCTTAGTTTGCCTTAATCTACTGGGGAAGGAAATGGTAAACCACTCCAGTATCTGACAAGAAAACCTCATGCACAATATGAGTATGCTACAGTCCACTGGATCACAAAGAGTCAGACATGACTGAATAACAAGCACATATAGAATATTCTAAGGTTTACAATATGTTTTGTATTTTTTTCATTTGATTGATGATTGTTTATTTCACAGGGTTAGTATTAGTATCAAATGAGATTGTTGTATCTTTCCATTGCTTCTTTTTTTTTTTAAGGCAATTGGGGTTAAGTGACTTGTCCAGGGTCACACAGCTAGTAAATGTCAAATGTTTGATCTGAAGTCATATTTGAACTCAGGTCCTCCTGACTTCAGGGCCAGTGCTCTATCCAGTGTGCCACCTAACTGCCCCTTTTCTGTTGCTTCTTAACACTCGATCTTTGGATTGTAGAAGAGAGAAGTGAGCTCAGTCTATACAACTAGATACACAGCATTCATCTGCATCTGTGGGTTTCATTATTGCTTATTTCTTTTTTTATGCTTTGTCTGGCGGTTGGAGCAGATCCATTTAATTCACTTTTGTCCTCTCTATGGTATTTCACTCCTTACCTATCACAGAAGCTCAATGCCCTCTCGGTCTGTGTTCCTTTCCGTCATCAAAACCCTCTGAGAAGTAAATTGGATCTTAGAGACCCATCCCTTCATATAGACCTTGAGGTCAGTAAAGGAAAAATCATTAGTCAAGGTCATAGAGGGAGTTAGTGGCAAATTGAGGCTAGAAATCTATGCCTAGTGATTCTTTGTCCTATTTCCTTTCTATAACTGTGCCACCTATTCAGTAGATAGATAGGTAAGGAATTTATTACATATTTACTTTGTGCCAGGCACTGTGCTAAGTGCTGGGGTTACAAATCTAAGGAAAGGAGATTTCTCTCAGAGAGCTTACATTCTAATAAGAGAGGATAAAACATAAAGAGAAGCCAGAAAGCAGGGTAGATGGGGGAGGGAAAAGGGTGCCCATAGGTGGAGGAGTTGGGACAAAAGTGAGCAGCATGGATGGGGAATCTCATGAAATGTCATTCTGGGTCTGGGTCAAGGACTCATCACTTAGGAGAGTAGGCCTTAACCTTCTGATTCCATTACTCTACTGATTTTTTTTCCCCAAAGGCATCAAAAACCTCTTAATTACCTAATAATGTTTCAATTGATATTTTCTGTCCTATTTAACCTATCCAATCATTTTACCCATTCATCTCTTTGTTTATTAATTAAATAAAATTAAATAATTGCTTATTTGTTGTTAGAACACTATCTTCTTATTTATGGTTTTACCCTTCCTTGGCTTCCCATTAACTAGTCAGTGACATTTATTGAGAGCTTGCTATGTGCCAAGAACTGTATTCTCTCCTGATCTGTACTTACATCTCTTCCTATTTCTTCAGTCTCCTTCACTGATGGATCTTTTTCCTCCCCCACTTAAGCACAACACGTCTCAGGGTTTAGCCTCCCTCTCTTTCATGACACTCTCTGTCTCAGGAATGCCATCCACCTCAATGTTGTCATCATGTCTAGGAAGAAGCTTGGGGCTGCAATTGCATCTCCCAATCACTAGCTATTAATGAATGGCCTATATAAGGAGTCAACAAGAGGAGACTAGAGTAGTTGAATCCTACTGAAAATACAGAAAACATTTTGATGAGGAGCTGAAGTAATAGGGAAGGAAGTGAAGAGGGTTTATAAACAGTTCAATATTGAAGAGAATTTCTAGTTTAATGTAAACATGTCAATTCCTTGCTCCTTTCATTCCCTACTCTCCTCAAAATGGAATGCTTACCCTCCTGGGTGTGTTACCTACAGTTGGCCCATGCATAATGATCCAGCTCAAATTTCTCCTCCTACGTGGAACCTTACTCAGTTCCTTCAGCTCTTACTGATCTCTCCACTGTCAGAATTCTTATAATCCTTATATCAATACCCCTCATTTGTCAGTTAACATCCAACATGTTGTCTTATCCATCCTCCTGTTGTAAGGCAAGATGACATCTGAACCATCCTCAATCTAGGATACTTTCAATACAATTCAGTAGCCATTTATACATATTAGCATCTGAGGTTTTATAGACCCTGTGCCCAGGACTTGGAGATATAAAGGTAGATGTGGCATAGATCTTGCCATTGAGGTATTTATAGTCTAATGGGAAGGAAAATGAACCTATAATTGTAATTCAAGGGAAAACTAAAACTGTAAATTTGAGAAAAAATTATTAAGTGCCCATTATGTGCAAAGAGCTATTTATGCTAACTACCATGGATACCACAGAAACTAAATAGTTCTAGACCTCAAGGGATTTATATTCTGTTGTAGAGGAGAGGTATATATAAAGAGATTAGACAAATTTGTTGTTGGTCAGTCATTTTTCTGTTGTATCCAACTCTTCATGAGCCCATTTGCTGTTTCTTGGCAAAGATACTTGAGTGGTTTGCCATTTCCTTTTCCATCTCATTCTTACAGATGAGGAACTGAGGCAAACAGGGTTAAATGACTTGTCCAGGGTCACATAGCTAGTAAGCATCTGAGGCCAAATTTGAACTCATGAAGATGAGTCTTCCTGATTCAAAGCTCAGCATTCTATCCACCTAGAAAGTATAATTAAGTTATTACAGCAACCTTAATTATCTACCCTCTCCTCCTGGTCACCACCACTATGTATATTCTTGAAAGACAGTAAAAGATACTTTAATACTTTGAACAAAAATGCATCTTAAGCAAGAGACCAGAGAACCTATTTGTAATAGAACTGGTCTTTGTGGTATAATTCAACAGAATATTGATTAATAAATGTTTATGAAGTACCTAGAAAAACCATGGCATAGTGGATAAGTGGTCCTAAGGCCTGGAAGACCTAGATTCAAATTCTGCCTCTGACAAAGAACCTCTGTGTGAGTCTGTGCAAATCACTTAACCTCTTAGTACTCTGAGCAACTTTTTAAGACTAGTTGGCAGAGAAGATGCCATCTTTCATTGGTAAAGAACATTATCTTACCTGCAAGTTCCAAATATAGAGGTCCAGTTTCTATTCCTAAGCACCAAAGCACCAAAGCTAGACAGATGAATGAAAGGTCCTTGAGGGTAGGGACTATTTTCATTCCCCCCCTTATCCTTAATGCCTCATATAGTACTTGGCACATATAGTGTATTTGATAAATGATTGCTGAACTGAGCTGAATAAAATATGGAGTCCATACCTTTCTACTTTCTACATACCATCTACTAAGGGTATTCTGCATGCACACAGAGTTAAGTATAATTCTTGAGAGGATATGGAATAAATTAGAAATATATATAAAGTTCTCTAGGAAAACCTAAGAAAGGAAATAGTCCTTTTGTAAATATATATGTCTGTGAATTCTAAGGATGGGTAGCTATCAATCACTAAGTAGACACGGTTTTAGAGGAGAGGAAATGCCCATCTCAGGCATCTCAGAGAAATGTAGTAATAAACTTGAACTTGCTGTGAAATTCTCACTGTCTAGCAGCCTCTTCTACCCTGAATAATAAATTCAATAACTTGAATGCTCACTGGTGCAATTCTCTCAAGAAGGGAAATATCAAATATTTGAGTTGGGGCAGAAATTGGCTTTTGGAATAAATTGGTTTTCCTTTTCTTTGTAGGTTGAAAATGCTTTAAGTGAAGTAGATTTCCAGCTCAAGTTGGACCTTCATTTTACAGAGAGTGAGCAACAGTGAGTATAACCCTGAGAGTTTAATCCTATTAATGCTTCCTCCTGATGTCCTTTTTCCTTGGGGTACTGTTCAAGGAGCAAGCTCCTCAGGTAACAAGGAGCATGCTTTTCTTATCCTATAGCTTATCCATGAATTCATGGTAAAAATTGGTGATAATTAAGTAAGATATAAAATCCTTAACTTATTCTATGGTAGTAAGATATAAAATTCTATTATCTCTGAAGAATTGAAAATAGTTATCACTCAGATGGAAAAGCAAATGGTATAGCTCTAGATCTATCTACATATATATGTATATGTGTACATGTATTTGTATTGTGTGTGTGTGTAGACTGTAACCCACTAGTTGCAAGAAGTAGTATAAAGGTTGGCATTGAAAAAATACAAAAAGAAAAAGATGAAATGATGGTCCCATGGCAAAGAGTGTTGGGTCTTTTGGTAACCTCACAATGTCAAGAGAAGGTGATGAAGACCCCTAGTACCTTGGGTGGATCCTCAGAGCAAACTCATGGAAGGGTCTGAACAAAGGACAAACAGAATGAATAGGCTTGGGTGGATTGTGATCAGCACCAGCATTGATCTAATCACAGCTCTATTTGAATATAAATTCTACATTCTCTCCATTCCTTGTTATTTAAGCTATTATAAAGAGTTTGTTTTTTCAGATAAAAAATCTCAGACTTAGTGAAAAGGGGCACAGAATGTCATTCACTGCCAGGTCTACCTGAAACATAACTTCTGCCTACTATGTAGCTAACAAGGGGTTACCTAGCTTCTACTTAAATGAGTGGCAAGATGCTCACTACTTCCATTGTAGGGCAACTCTCATTATTAGAGCTCTTTCTTTATGTTGTGAAATCTGCATATCTCTAACTTCTTTCCCCATCTACACATTATTCCTATAGTATTTTTGCCCCATAGGGAGTGAATCAAACCAAATGAGTCTAATTACTTTTACACATAATAGCCATTCAGTTACTTGAAGACATTAACTGTGTTCCCCAAACCCCAGTTATGTTCTCCTCTCCAGGCTAGACATCTCTCCAACTGGTCCTCATATGGCATAGCTTTGAGTCTTCCCACCATTGAAATCACCCTCAGACAGATATATTCCAGTTTCTCAAAGTCCTTAGGAGTAGGAGGAGGAAAAGAGATTCATAGAATCAAAGATTTAGTACTAGAATGGACTTTAGAGTTCATCTAGTTCACTCCTCTTCAATTTACAGGTGGAGAAACTGAGGCCAAGACAGGTAAATTGACTTGCAGAAGCTTGTACAGCTAGTAAATGGCAAAGCCTCTATTTGAGCTAAGTTCTTCTGCTGCAAATCTAATGTTTTCCACAATAATCGATCAATAAACGTTTATTAAGCACCTAATTTGTGCCAGGCACTCTGCTAAGCTCTGGGGATACAAAGAAAGGTAAAAAACAGTCCCTGCCCTCAAGGAACTTTCAATCTTACCAGGGAGACAACATGCAAACAAATATATTCAGAACAATCTGTATAAAGGATAAATATGAAACAATAAACAGAGGGAAGGCACTGTAATTAAGAGGGGTTGTAGAAGGCCTCCTGTAGAAGGTGGGATTTTAGTTGGGACTTAAGGAAAAGCAGGGAGGTAAGTAATTGGAATAGAGAAGGTAGAACATTCCAGGAATGGGGGGAAGACAGAAAATACCAGGAACTGAGAGATGGAGTTTTGTTTGTGGAACAGCCAGGAGGCCAATGTCACTGGATCAAAGAGTATGAGTCTGGGAGTAAGGTACATAGAAGACTGGAAAGATGGGAGGTGGCTAAGTTATGAAGGACTTTGAATGCCAAAGAGAGCATTTTTATTTGGTCCTGGATGCAATAGGAAGCTTTGGGACCACCAATTTAGTGGCTGAATGGAGGATGGACTGGAGTGGAGAATGACTTGAGGCAGGCATATCCATCAGCAGGCAACTGCTCTAATCAAGGCATGAGAAGATGAGGGCCTGCATTAGAGTGGGCAGCAGAGGAGAAAATGAGGTGTATTCCAGAGATGATGGGAAGTTCTCCTTCTCCCCTGAATCATAGTTACATGTGCAATTTCATTCCCATTAGACTGTACTAACCTCAAGGGCAAAACCTATGTCGCGTCTACCTTTATATCTCTAGTCCTAAGTGCAAGGCTGAATAAACTCAGATGCTTATGTATAAATGGTTATTGAATTGAATTGAAAGTATCCTGGATGGACAGGTGAAATCAACAGATCTTGGCAGGAGATTATATGGGGAGTGAGTGATAATAAGGAATCCAGAATGACTCCTGGGTTGTAGCAACCACAACAGCAACACCACCAGCAACAGCAGGCTACTAAAATCCTCCTTTGCTCTCTCTCCAGTGACCTGGAGCTCTCCATGGTTGTGGAGCAGTGCAGAGAAAGCCAGTCCTACCAAGTAGGCAAGGCTTCAAGAATGGACCCAAATAAATTCAGAGAGGCTTACTGGCTTACCAGAGAAGATTGATTTAGCCACAAATGAAGTGAACCATCTAAAAGTAGGATAGACTGCCTCTAAAGGTGGTGGTGCGTCCCTCTCCCTGGAGGTCATCAAACATAAACTCGTTGACCACTTGTTGAGTATGTGACCCTGGGCACTCCTTTTAATAATAACAATAGCTAGTGAACATTTATATAGCACAGTAAGGTATGCCAAAGGCTTTCTATACCTTATCTCATCTGATCATCAAAACAATGCTTTTGTGTACTGGTTGGATTGGATAGCCATTGAAGACCTTCAAATTCTCAAATTCTGTGATCCTACTAAGCTGTCCTCTGTATCACTGGAGGGAGTACTTATGCTATCGAACCCACAGACCCTTGAAATAGTTATATATGGAAATAATAATATTTCATATTTTAACAATGCTGAAAATACATACCCAAAATATACAGTCCTTCATAAATCATATCCACAAAACCACATCCACATATGGTGATCTCTTGGTTTTGTGTCTGGTTAAAATTATACGTCAAAAGCACTAAATTAGAAACATTTCTGATTTGTATTCAAGGGAAGACTCAAGCCTGATGATCTAGCCATTCATTATATATGATTCTGATGATAAGGAAGGCTATTTATGAATGCTTACTGTTTATCACGTTTGGTTCTTCAAATCAGATTTTATTGTTTTTGTTTGTCATTGTAATCCTTTGAAAGTCTTCATAGCTCCATAATAATAATCATATTAGTAATATAATAATTCCTAGTATTTATCTAATGCTTTAAGATTTTCAGATATTGCAAACTTTATAAATATTATCTCATTTTATCCTCACAAAAACCCTAGGAGTTAGGTATTTTTTATTAGTCTCATTTTACAAATGAGAAAATTGGGGAAGCAGAGGTTAAGTGACTTGTCCAAGGTCACACAGCTAATTAAGTGTCTGAGGCTGTATTTGAACTTAGAGCTTCCTGACTGCAGACCCAATGCTCTATCTACTGGGCCACCTAGCTATATTGCTCCTTGATAGTTTTTTTTAATTAATGCTACTATGTATTAGTAGTTGCCTACAGAGTCTGTAGTGTTACTTGTACTGTATTGAGAATGTTTAAAATATATCTCCTACTTCTACCTAATGAGTTTCCCAATAAGAGGGGATGGACAGATACACTTTATTGTTTAGTATGAAGACAAAGCTATATTTAGAGTCTGAGTCAAAGACGCTCTTCTTTACTGCATTTTTTGCCTGATTAAGAAATCAGAATACTTTGTCTCAAAGGTTTTTTGAGAGGACTCGTATTGCATGTACAGTCATGCACTTGTTGAATGTTAGATCTGGAAGGAACCATTAGAACACAAAGCACCAAAGCTGAAAGGGATCTTAGAATAAAGAATGTGAAAATGGAGGACAGAGAATTAACATTCTGGAAAGGGCCACGAGAACATAAAACATGAGAATATGTAATAACAGAGTATAAAACAATTAGAAATTGGATTTTAGAGATTGTCTAGACCAGGGGTTTTTAACCTGGGAACCATGGACTTCCAAGAAGCCCCGTGGATACATTTCAGGGGGTCATGAACTTGAATGGAAAAATAAATTAGATCTTTTAAAAATGTAATTTATTTTTAGTTTTCAACATTCACTTTTATAAGCTTTTGAATTTTATATTTTCTCCCCCTCCCTTCCCTCTTCTGTTCCCAAGATGGCATGCAATCTGATATAAACCCTACATATACATTCCTATTAAATGTATTTTCATATTAGACATGTTGTAAAGAAGAATATAAATTATGTTTTTAATATAATTTGTGTCCTTTGTAATCTTGTATATTTTTTTTGTGCATTATAAAACATTATTCAGAAAAGTGGTCAATAAGTTTATTCAGAATATCCAGAAGGCCTATGAAACAAACAAAAGAGTAAGAACCCTTGTCTAAACTCACCTTCTCATATATGTTATAGATGCATAAACTTGAGTCTCAGAGTTTAGAAGCAACTTTACTGTCAGAACTTTCTAGCTAGATCACAAGACCCTGCAGACTAGGGGACAGGAATGGTCTATGGTCAATGAGGTTGGTGGCTTGTATGGAGAATTCTTTGAGCTCTGATCTTATTATTTGAATTACATAGCCCTTTGGTCTGTTTGGGAGAATATTAGAGACTCTGTGATAGAACATTTCTCAACTATGGAGGTATTTAAACAGAGGTCAGATACCTACATGTAGATGGTACACATCTTTCAATTCTGCAACTCAACAAATATTTATTAAAGATTGACAGTGAACTAGACAGATAAAGTGTTCTATTTTGAAGTTTGTTCCAATCCTGAGACTATATTATTTCAAGTCTATAACAAACCTAATGCAAAAATACGCATGGATGAGGACAGTCAAGTTAACAAATTTATAAAACAGGCCACATTGTATACACAGAGACAGCATAAAATTCTGTAAACAGCACAGAGCATTGAGTCATGCTATATGAATTTGTATCCATACTCACACATATGATCTATCCTATTTGGGCAAA